CGGATGCGATCGACTCCTTCCCTAATTAAGTAATATCCCACCCCGAACGGCCAGGGTCCATTCGGGTCCCACAACGTCTCAAATTAAACGATTTTTTCGTTTGATTTGTTTTGACGAAGGGCCGTCGCCGAAATGCATTCCAAGCCAGCAGAATATTTCCCTGTTAGTAAAATCATGATTGTTAATACGTACGTACGTACGATCTAAGCCCTCCCAAAATTAGTCGTTTTTTGCTACTTTATACATTTTAAATAAATCATAGGATATATACAGCCTATTACTAAAACATGCAATCTGAGATTGATTCATTACGACAACGAATTTCTGAGCTTGAAGCTGAAAAGATCAAGCTTGAGGCAAAGAATGCCGAGCATTTAAAACAGGTTGTGGAAGAGAACACCAAATGCGAAGTTGAGAATGTTGGGCTCAAGGCTAGAATCGAGGAGCTAGAGAAAAATAAAATGAATAATATTAATCTCAAGGCTGAAAATTATGAGCTTAAGACCAGAGTTACAAAATTGGAACGAAAACAGATCCAGGTTATTACTAATGAACAAGAAGCATCTACAAAAGATATTTCGCTACTTATTGAAAGCCAACTCGAAGGAGAAGAAGCTATTACTTCCGATCCTATACCCGAAATGGAACATAGCTCAACCCAATCCGAATCTTTAGCAAAGCCTAAAACGTCTGCAACCTCTCCGCCACAAGACATTATCGATGAAGATTCAGCCGAGACCCTAGATTTTGTAAAAACGGTATATAATGAAACTGTAAGTAAAGAGTAGGGGTGTCGAACAAACCCGTGAAATTCGACAATAGTCGTTACTGCAGTAATCCCAATGGTCAACCCGAATATCGAAAATCATATGATTATTAACCAACCAAATCGCAAGATATACAGTTCGAAAATTTGTTCGCGTTAGCGTTAGATATCGTTATAGAGTTGTTTTAGACTATGAAGTTAATCAACTCAATTGCAAGTATACAGTTCTAAAAAAAAAAAAGGCTTAGCGTAGATCTTTGTTCCTGATACACTAGTGCTAGGAGATATTTAAAGAATTGTTTTCAGACTACGAAGTATTTCAAATATTGTATAATAAGCAGTGTCAAATGAAGTCTTTAAGGTTTAATCCATTGTATAGCCTCTGATAAATTTAATAATGTTAAAGAGACATATTAAAACTATAAAAAATTCTAGTATGTCTGATCAGCAGCCTAGTGAATCATAATTATTACGTATGTATCTATGTTGTTATTTTACAAAGTGAAATTTGCCACATTTAACTAATTGTTGATTCTGTATTTAGTAGAAATTTATGTCTCAATAAAAATTCAGAATAGCGAACAGTAAGAGTTACAGTGATACTATGGATTTTGCTTTTGGTATAGTTCTGGCAAGCGGTGAAACTCTTGGTGAATATTGGTGAAACTGGTGAATATAATATAACAGCTAATCAGATTTTAGATAGTCACCAGTTTAACCAGCAACTTTAGAAGGGTAAACTCTAGAAAATTGATCTTAACTGATTAATATCTGGCATTTCGGACATACAGTATGTTAGAGCTAGAAGGGGCTGTCCTGTAGTAAAATTACACGAGGAATTATTTTTATTGAAACCCCAAAGCGGTTTACTAGTATAAATTTTGAGACAAATGCGATTTTTGCAAAGTGAACGTTTGTTTTTATGTTTTTCACATTATACCAAGGTCCTTGATCTCGAAAAATCACGTGAACGGAAAATTGATTAAATGCACTGGTACTGCTATGTAGAACATAAACGTTACACAGCTGGTTGGCTAAATATCCGAAACGAAATTCCTTATAGATTGGACGAAATTCCTTATAGAATGGTAAAACCGAACCAATTGGAATTACAGTAGCCTATTGATTTTTCTTTTTTTTTTGTTATAAAAACCATATTTCGGAATTAGTGTCAAAGAAATTGTAACCCGTTTTACTTCTTTTCTTTTTTTTTAAAAAAAATGGTTGTAATTAGAAAAGACTTGGTAAGCAAAACTTATTTTGAACTTATCTACTATTCTGAATTGTATTCTTCAAACTATGAAGAATCAATGAAAGTCTTTAACAAATTATTATATGAGAACTCAGTAATTACTCAAGATGAAAAAAAGTCTTGTCAAGAGAGAGTTTTAAGAAATATTGAAAGAGAAAAAGAATTATTTAAAAGGGGCGAACCAATAACATGCAATAATTGCAATTTAACAAGATATTCAACACGTTATTGTGAAAATTGCATTATAAAATATTTAAAAAGTTTCTTTGGAACTTGGACATCTGGAAGTAAAGTTATTGATGAATTTATATGCGAATGTCAGTCAAATTCAGGACTCCCTCTACACATTATGGAATGGATTTCACCTGATCAATTAGAAGATATAATGCCACTCGTAAAGGGTGGAATTTCTACAATATATGTCGCAACATGGAAGCGCGGAGCGATATTAGATTTTAATGAAAGCAAACAAGAATTTGTTTATAATGGCCCTCAAAAGGTTGTATTAAAATCTTTAAGCAGTCCAGGAAATCCTTATGAAATGGTTTTTAAAGAGGTAAATAAGCATATTTTAATGTTTTGGTATCATTTAGTGCCTTACTGTATATAACACTATAATACACAATGTTTTTTTATAGGCAAAAAAATTTATTCAAATTAGATCTGGCGACATTGTTAATGCGTATGGCATAACCAAAATTAAAATTCTTGGTAAAAATAATTATGCCATAGTTATGAATTATTTTACAGATGGAAATTTACGAGATTATCTAGTAAACCATCCGGGAATAGATTTAAAAGATAAAGTCTTTACTATTTGGCGCATTTGTTTGGCCTTGTCAAATATTCATCAACAAGATTTAATTCACTGCAATTTGCATAGTAGAAATATCCTTTTATACACAAACAGATGCTTACTTACTGGTTTAGGATCATGCCGCCCAGTAGATGATAAATGCGTAGACAAATTATATGGTGTGATTCCATATATGGCACCTGAATTATTGCTGTATAAAAAATATTCAAAAGCAACAGATATCTATAGTTTAGGAGTTTTGATGTGGGAAATATTTGCTATAAATCAGCCTTTCGATTATATACCTGACAGTTATCAATTAGCGAAAGAGATTATTTGTGGCTTAAAGCTACAAATGGTACCCGAGATTCCGAACAGAATCCAAGGCCTTATTTACCGATGTATGGATGCAAATCCTTTAAAAAGGCCAACTATCGAACAAATTCTTGTTATTATTAAAAGCATATACAAAGAAATCCATGAAAGTAAAGAATTGATTATTGAATACGAAAAAAAGAAATCATATTATTCACCTCCTGGAATAGTTTTAAAACCGTACACGACAACGCATAATAATATCATATTTAATCTTAATGAGAAAATCCAGTGAACAGGCTATTTTTACAGTAATTAACTCTCCCTTAATTTTTCATTTATTACAGTTACGTTAAGTTTTAGAGAATATTTTATTCAAGCTAGTTCCCGCTATACGATTAACTCTCTCTAAGTGCAATTAACTGGAATCTGGCTTTTGGCAACATGCAGTAGAGACACTTAAGAAAAATTGCACTTATGAAGATCAAACATATACTTTGGCCAAAATTTAAAGTTATGTTTAGAGAAAAGTTTGCACTTAGAGAAGTTGCACTTAGAAAGAGTTGACTTTAACTTTTTACACAATATATGCGCAAATTTGATTTACGCAACCCTTGTGATAACGTATTTTTAAAATAGTACCAAAAGTCTCAAATTTTCGGAAGTGGTTATTAAATATTTGAATGAGTGAATAAGGATATTTATTTGTATATCAAATTTTTTGTATGGTTTATACTAAATAATTACACTATTGAATATATTTTGATATAAAAAATTCAAATAATTTCACTTATTAAAATTAATTTCGTCAACAATGAAAAACTAATTTTGAAAAATTAATTATCAAATATCAAAATAATTATTTAAGAAAAATAATATGGACAACTTGTATAGGAAAACATGGAATTGGCATAAATAAAATAGTTTTTATTGATGATAGTTTAAATTAAAAATTTTTATTTTTATTATGAAATTTAAATTGATGCAGTGTAGTAAAAAGAATATACAGCGAGAATAAAAATTAATTTGTATATTGCTTTATTACAAGTATATATATATTTCGATAAGCAATTAGTATCAATCAATCCTATTTGAATACCGATGTTTAATTTTGAATCCCAGATATGTATAGGAGTAAGGAATGGTAAAAAGCGTTTTTACAGCTGTTTTGAAAATAGTGGGGCACGTGATAAAATTTCTGTTGATTTTCGGTAATTATGATACGACAGGAGTGAAACCTGAGTTGCGAAATACGTAGTGAAATTCGCTATGATTATCACATGAGGGTGAAATCCGCATTTATAATAAAAAACATAACGATAATAAAACGCCTAACCCGATCTACAAAGCGGATTTTACTATTTTGCAACTCAGGTTTCACCCTGTTCTATTATGATCACCGAAAAAATTTTGCAGGTGTCGGTAATTAATTTTTCGGTTGTAACACAATTTTCGATATAATGATATAATACGTATATGATCTACATTTACACAACATAGATTATGATAAAACTTTCAAAACATATTAGTTGGCAAATAGTAGATGGTTTACCAATTCGTACAATTGCCAGACACCTAGGTGTTTGCAAATCCTCTGTAGGTCGGATCCAACAGTATGGCTGTGTTGAAGAACTTCTAGCACTTATAGGAAGGTCACGTTTATTGAATACAAATGACTTGAAGTATCTTAAAATCTTGTTAAAAGAAAAGCCTGATTGGTACCTGTATAAGCTACAATTAAAAATGGAGCTCTAATTAGGTCATAGCATTTGTTTTTTAACAATTTGGAAGACAATACATACACTTGGATATACATATAAACAGATATAATTTTAAAAAAAAATTTTTTTAATACATATTAAAATAAGTATTTTGATTTAAAATTTTATTAATAGTATGTTTCAACTATGTAGTTGTATTACAACAGTCACAGAAGGCAACTATGGGAAGAGCATACAATTAGCCATTTATACAACTTTAATCATTATCTAATTTAAGTAGTTTGCTTGCAAGTTTTACCTAGAACTCACTTGAAAGTTTTTTATTTAAATATTTTGGTTTTTGTATCTATTTACCTATCTACCTTACCAACTGCCTCAGTTTTTAACAGTACAAATATGTTATAGTTATTAAGATTTTAAAACAGTTTACTTACATAAAGAATCTTTGATCTTATACTAACTTATTAGAGCTTTCTGTTATTCTAATTTTTAATTAACTTGATTTTTTACTATAGTTAAGACTAATACTTACAATTAGGATTAATTATTAAATTGTTATATATTTGTAAAGTTTATACAATCTCAGTAGCTTCTTTACAACTTTACTAGTATTTTATGTATTCTTACAAGTTTTTTTATACTACCAATCTAGTTAGTTTTGCATCATGTAATTTTATATTTAAATTAATTAGATAGTTAGATTAGTAAATTTTTTTATCTAGAGGTTTTTTGTCTGTACAAATCATCTATGTCAGATTTTCTTCTTTTTTTTTTATTTATTTATTTTTTTTAAACCTTAAGCAGTTATACTAATACTTTATTAAGATTCTTGAAACTATATACATACATAATTATATAGAATTTCTCAATACATAAGTTTAGCATCACTTGGCTACTCTAACAGTATCTAAGTGCAACCTGTCACATTATTTCAGTTAGAAATAGACTGTACATCTAATTACTTAAAACTATACCAAAAAGGTCTTCTTTTTTCTATAACAAGCATATTAATTGTCTTCAATGCTTCATTCTTTATTTATTTTATTTTTTTTGTTTTCTTTTCTTTTCTATCTTTTTTTGATATTTTACTTTCTATCTTCTTTCCTTTTAGTTTTTCTTTTTCTCTATTACCCTTTTTTATTTTATTCATTATATTGAAGTTCTTTTTCCATTCTTATACTCTTTTATATCATATTCTTTATACTTGATTATAAAAGTGTTCTATGCTGTTCTAGTTACTATGTCTATACATTTTTGTGTTGCATTTTTGTTTAACAGTTGTTCAAGTCTTTTTTTAATCTTTAGTGTTATAAGTCCTTTTATTAGTGCTTTTCTGTTTTCAATTTCTTCTTCTTTTGTTTCTCTAAAGAGCATCTTATATAACACTTGTGGTGGAATTCTATCTTTTTCTTTAAGACCATTTTATGCTATTGCTGCTGAAACTTTTTGGATCTGTTTTTATAGACTTTTTTGTTTGTTGCAGCTTGTCATATATGCTTGGGTTTCTATCTTACCATCTTGACAGACTTGGTATTCTGCTATTATATATGCTTTTGATCTTATTCTATTTAGTTCTTCTAATATCAGTAGATTGTCCATTATATACTTAATTTCTGTTGCTCTTCTTGTACTGAGTTTTCTTGATATACAATGTACTCCACTTGTTCTGTTTATTTCTTTCCAAAAGCTTAATCAGTTGTGTAGTGTCTGTTCAGTCTCTAGCTCTAATAAACTAATTAGATTTGTTTCTTGTCAACTAGCTTCAATTTTAGCATTCATGATTATTTTACAAAGGAGCTGTATTGGTATATTAATCTTTTTGTTTTTCTATTCTATATGGTATTCTATTTTGTTGCATTTGATTTTTCTCATATTGATTATTTCTTTACTGTTTGCTTCTTTTTTTGTAAGCAAATCTGCTCTATCATTTTATTTGTCTTCACTATAACTTTTGACTTTAACTATTTCTATTTTAATATTCTTGCTTTTAATTAAATCTATAATGTTCATTATACACATTGTATTTTTCTTCTTGAGAATTCTTTTGTCTTCTACACTTTGAATTGCTTTGCTAATATTTCTTAATATTGTGATACTATCTGTATATACTTCTATATTTTTCTTTTTTGGTATCATTAGGATTGCTGACCATATTGTTACCAATTCTGCTATTATTGCTAAAAGTCATCCTTCAAGTTCTAATGTCACTTTTTCTTCTGGTTAGTTCTTTTCATCTCTCAGTTGTACCCAACTGATACTCATCTTCCCTATACTATTTTTTGCTTTCTCTTTATACAATGCTCTATTCATATAGAAAGTATATTTGTTTTTGTTTTTTCTTTTATTTCTTACTAGGATTTCTATTAAGTGATTTGTAATTTCATTGTTTAGTCTTTGCTTTTTAATTAACTCTATCTTTAGTTCTTTTATTTGGTTTAGTTCTATTAGGTTTCTTTCATCTCTTCTCCAATTTTCTATTGTTCTGTTATCTGTTATCTGCTTAAGTGTTACATTAATCTTGTTATTGCTTTTCTCGATTATTGTTTCTAAAATCACCTTTATGTTATGATTATGTCTTATCTATTTTTTACAATTAACTGATATCTGTTCTGATTTGTTTTTATAACCTCTGCATTTATTTATTTTCATAATCATTTTTTCTTCTTCTTTCTTCATTAACCAGTGCTCTGCTAATATCTTTTTTTACTTCATCTTAACTATTTTGCTAAGCTGTTGGTTATGTTTTGATCCATGTATAATTCATTCTCTTTTTCTTCGATCTCTAACAACTTTGTCTATTTAATCTTTAATGCTTGAGTGTTGTATTCATTTGTTTTGTAGTTGTTATAGATTTCTCTGTTTGTTTGTGTTACTAGCAATTTCTTTTCTATTTCACTAAACCATTTGGTCTTTTTTTCTTTATATAACAGTCCTAGATGGCACTTGAGTTGTCTTCACATAATTAGATTTTTACCTTTTAAATCTATAAACTAATTTAAATATAACAGTCCTCATTTGTTTATTGTACTATTACTTGTTGCCTATGTTTTAGTTTCTATTATGTCTCTTATTTGTTTTTCACATTCATATACTTTCTATAAAGTATCTTCAGTTTTGATAGTTATACCTATCTCCTTTGCTTTAGCTATTGTATGACAGACTAAATTGGTTTTTTAAAATTTTTTTTCTTCTAGTTTTCTTTTATAATTTCAAATATTATCTGTTAGCTCTACATTTTAGCACCTTTATGTTATTCTAAGTCTAGTTAGTTCATCTAAGCTATCCTTTTTATTAAGTCACAAAAAAAGACTACTTATTTGCTTTGTTATTATTTCTTAACCTAGTGATTTGCAATTGCCTAGATCTTTGTGCTCTACTATATAATTGTTCACTGTTTTCATTATGTTGCATTTGTGTTTTACTAGGCATATTAGTAGTTAATGTATTTTATTGATCATTTTTTCTAACATTTTTGTTAATTATAGAAGATAGTCTAATTTTGGAATTATTACTGTATTGTTTATATATGCAATCTGGCTCATTGTTATTTTCTTGTATCTTAAGTCTTTGTCTG